GCTCCGCTCCGGCCCCAGGCAGCCGGGCCACGTCCCTGCCAGAGCCCAGAGCCTAGCGCGCAGGCGCACATTCCCGCCGCTGCCGCCGCCCGCTGAACCACCGGCCCCGGCAGCAGCCGTTACCGCCCCTGCCCCGCCCCCGGCCAGCTGTCGGCACTGTGCTCAGGGGGAACCCGCCCTTCCCCAGGACGAGGGAGGGGGTAACGGGAGAAGTGTAGCGCCCCTCTGGTGCTGGAATTGTGGCTGCCCCTTCCCGCAGGCCTCCCGGCCCGTCGCCCAGCCTGCTGGTGGCGCCGCGCGGGCTGCCGCCGCGTCCGCGTCCCCCTGGTCGGGGCCAAAGGAGCAGGATTGGCCGCGCCGGATGTCCCCATCTCAGCCTCGCCGAAGCCGTGCTCCGAGCTCAGGGCACTCGTTGGTCACAGAGGAGACACAAAGTTAAGTGTCGTGTAAAGATATGTCCCTAAGACTCAGGCTCACATGTATGCGGCAGACTCTTGTGCTGCAATAGTGTTTTCCCCTAGTTATTAACACTCCTGATCTCCAGGAAGTCTGTCCCACCCCAGGCTGCCTCCCCAGGGAGGCACAGACAGATGACGAAGCTTTTATGACTTCCAGCTCAGCTCTTCCATTGAAGTCATTCTGGAAGCCACAGCAACTGCAGAACATGGCTGCCAGATGTCTCCTAACAAAATCCACTGTTTGATTTGGAGCATTGGCTCTTTGCGGCAAGAACCACGTCCTTTTAAGGGTTTAGCCTAGTGTGCTGTGTACATTTGATTATATATACCATCGTGTGTGTGTGTCACTAAATATATCTATACATCATGCAAGTATGTATGTATAACAAAACATTTTGATAGTACCCCAATACACCAAGCAAGATCCACTATTATTTTTAGCTAGGCTACATCAGGTTTCTATTGCATTAGGCACTTATGTGCAACCACAGGACAGTCTCTGCTTCAAACAATGGTTGCGGTCCAGTAGTAAGTCAATCCCTTCTCCATTATTCAAAAACAGAAAGCTTTCTTTATATTGTTAACAACTCTAACAGGAAAAGTGTCATATGATGGCACCATACTATGCATAATGGAATATACACAGTAAGTACAGTACAGAGAAAAACAAGCATTTGAAGAAGAGCAGTGAAGGAAGGTCTATAGTATATCTGTATTTAACAAAGGTCTACAAAGTAGATCATATTATACAATGATCAAATATACTAGTAAGAAAGATTAAGGCATTGTCCTAAAAACCCAGCACTACTATGGGTATATACCAGGTTGCCACTCTGACCCTTTACTCTAAGAAAATTACAATAGTTGGGAACATAGGAAAAAGAAAGAAAAATGGATAAGTCAAGTAATAATTAAATAAAAACTTCTTGCAATAGTACATGGGAGTGTTTGTAATAGATCAAGACTCCATATGCTAGGTCCTCTAAAATAGACAGAGACTTTTCTCTGAAGAGTTACAATTTAACTAATAATGATATTACCCCAGCAGAGTCACCAGATACATAGGAGGCATTTCTGTCAAGGATGCTTCTGCAAAACATCAAAAAGAAAAGACACACACTCACCAGACAGATGTGCTTTAGAGTTAAATAGAAGTTGGGAGGCTGATTTTGGTGAGCTAATGCTGAAAAGAGAAAGTACATTAAAATATAAGCCTCTTTTAATCTTAGAAAGCTTTACCTTTAGGAAGCCAGTTTTTAGTTGCTCTAAATGGAACATCTCTGTTTTTACCTGTATGAAACCATGGCCTCTAGGGATCATAGTCATCTTAGCAACAAATATTTTCTGTTGATGGAACAGGGGAAAAGGGGTTTGGCTTAAATCTATAACAGGCACACAGGGTGTGGCCAATGACTCCACCTAAATCTACCTATCTAGCATTCCTCTGTCTCTATCATGAGGATCACTGAGGTAGTTAGCTTCTAAACAATAATGAGAAAACACAGAAGCAAAAAGATCCCATGCTACAAAGAGAATAGAGTAGGTCTTATTTATTTCTTGTTTAGTGTTGTTTGTGGTATTTATGAACAAAGCAAAGAATGAGACGATCCTTTATCAGATGATGTGTCTTTATTTACCCAGGTATACTATAAGAAATTATGTCAGGCCAGGCCTCTCATGGTCTGCTGATACCATATAAACCAGTACAGCCTGTTCCATGGTTGAATTGTCATCAATTAAACCTGCACCCCAATCTGGGCTTGCCTGGGTGAGGAGGGCAAGTGGACACCCAGCAAAACTAAAACAAGACCTATCAAAGGGCAGATGATCTCCCTGCAAGCCAACAGCCACCCACAACTGGAGAGGAGATGGGCACCACCAGGTCACTCTGCCCAAAGAATCACCAGTGCTACAAAGCAACTCAACTAGGGTTGTTACAGCATCAGGTGCCCCAACAGTCACAGCAGCCTCAGGACTGACTTGACTTTGACTATAAGAAAAGAGTGCTATGATATGAGTGATTTCTAGTTGGGGAAAAGAATAAAGTTGCATTTTAGACTTTCTTACTTACCTAGAGACAGCTAAGCAAAGAGATTCTGAAACAAGCCAGATAAGGAATCATAGTGTTGCCACTATAATACAAAGGAAGATTGTAATGCTAATTGCCCATTCTTTCTGACTTTTTCTTTCTTTTCATTAATAATTGTCAGCAATAGACATTAGATTTTTAAAAGTGGTATTACAGAACTATTTTAATTTTGTAAAATTCCTCTAGTATATAAAGCTTTGCTTGGGAAGTTTGTCTTTGATGAAAAAATATGTGTATTAAGTTAACCACAATAACTCCAAAAGTAAGGTTGAACTAAATATTTCAAGGAGAGATTTAAACTATTAATTATGTATGAACAAAAATACATCTTGCTCTTCTTAAAACTTCAGCACTTTTTGAGTACAATAATCATAAATAAATAAAATACATCTATTTAATTAATTTAGGAATAAAAAAGAGACAGTCAAAGAACTTAAGCACCAAGCATCAAACCCCTAATGGCCTCTTTAATAAAATAACACTGACTCTTTTAAATTACCAAAATCTTGTATATAGACTATACTTGAATAATTTATTTTAGAATTTATATTGCTTTTCCTACTATTCCTTGTGACCTAGTAGTATTTTTAATCTTTTACTAATGGAGAAACTAATTAATCAATTCAAAACCTAAGAGGAACAAACTTTCTACCTGCAGTTGTTTTTGTTGTTACTTTAGCCAGTCACCAAATGGTTCCTGCACCTTATTCAGCATCATAACAGACAGTCTGTTTTGAATGTTGTTCTGTATTTGTACCTTTAGATACACAGGTGCATTTCTGATTGGTGTCTATCAACTCAGGAGCTATTCTGATAGAACAACTCAATCCAGGCACTTTAGAGTTATTTTGTGTTAACAGCATGTTTAGACTACAATGATTAGAACATAAACATTACTGTAATATAAATCCACAGTAGACAAGACACTATAAGTGTCTGATCTAACAACCTGTTTCACAGAGACTTCTGTATCCAGAAATGTTCCATAGATCATGGTAAGAAATACTCCAAATCCTGAAAACAGTTGCTCTCATTCTTCATGTAGTATTCACATATATGACATTAAGCACATAAGTAACTGAAGAATAAGGCCATCGTTAAGGTGGTAACTTGATCATTCCCCTTTTTATGACACATTACAACTTTGTACAGTAAATTAAGGATACGTGGATAATAACTAATTATGTTTACCACGCTGTCTTCTGTAGTTGAGAGCATCAGAGGTGCTAGACAGTGTTACTACGCTACTGTGCAGTATTATTAGCCTACTGCGCAGCATCACTTAAAGACGTTCTCTGGCACTACTGTGCAGTAATTCCAGTTACTGCGCATTTGTTTGGTACTTCCTTATTATACACGTACTAAATACATGCACAGTAATCACTACACAGTATTGTCTCATGTAGATGTGCCCACTGAGACTGAAAACTACTGACTAACCTTATTACAGGAATGAAATCCAAAGCTGCTAAGCTTTTATTCCATGGTCTAATTCTTTTGTGTATAGAAAATTTAGAGAGAAATCTCTGTTATGTTTTTTGGGGGAAGGTTCCAGAATTTTCCTCAGCCTCACCATATATACAGGATGGTTGGTCCCCATTGAAGTTAATGGCAAGACTTACTTTTATCAGTAGGGAATTCAGCCAAAACCTGGTCCAGATGAATTACTGGCAAAATCTTCTCATTCTACAACTTAAAGAGTGAACAAAAGTTCTGTTAAGAACACAATTTATTTTTATGTCTTCTAAAATTACTGTTAAATGATTTTTGTGAATGATATTTTTTATTGGACCAACTGCATCGTTGGGATGAAGCTCTTTCCCAACCATGCAGTTGGTCCAATAAAAGATATCACCCACAAAAATCCTTGCCTGATATGTTTTATTGGACCAACTGCATGGTTGGGAAAGAGCTTCATCCCAACTATGCAGTTGGTCCAATAAAACATATCATTCACAAAAAACTTTGCCTCTGTTATATGTTTCTTCCTTTCATAAGAGTATGCCAGGATTTATAATGTTCTGAAATGTATATCAATAACTAGGAAGGAAGCAGCAGCAGCATCACTGCATCAGCTGAGGCCAACACAAGCAACACCACCACCAGCAGAGTGTAGCAATTGCAGATGTCTAATTAAACCACTACATAAAAAAGGAATTGTCTACTGTATGCTCACAGTGCTTGCATGTTTTGCAGATTCCCCTGACCTGAGACTACTACAAGACTTCTGGTCGGTCCCCACCACATTCCTCAAGTACCTAATAATACTTTGGTATGGAGCCATGGGAATCAGCAGAAGCAGCCAGAGGCCACTAATTTTTCTTCTCTGCCTTTTCATGACGTAAAGTTCAATGTAGGCCTCCAGGACATCCCCATGTCCTCCTGTCATATGCCTCTGCAAAGGTTCAAAGCTCTATCAAATGGCTTCTTCTCTTATCTTCCAGTGCATATGATTTACAGTAATTTCAAATTTCAAATTTACAGAAAATCTGAGCCCAATGGTTGCAAGAACTGGTAATTTAAGCCTCAAAATTATACAAGAATGTTGACATTAAAAAATAACTGCTAGAAATCTAGGAAATTCTGGGTAAAATCACCTTTAAAGGAAAATATGTAAAAGAATGCAGAGTAAGGATCATTCAGCTCCATTCTATCCCCACAGTGATACCTTCGATAAAAGCAGAAATTATGAAACTGAAGCAGAAATTTATAACAAACATGTTCATATACATCATCAGATATTACAAACATTAGAATTATTTAATCTCAATTGTACAACAGCTGTATCAACATTGACTTTCTTTTTGTTCCTCCATTCTTAAATCATAGAAATATATGTTCTTTAGACAAACAGCATACAAAAGGCAGTCACCTTTCTCTTTGTAAAGAGATTTTAGTTACTACTATTTTTACGTGTGTCATTAAACAGGAAGCTCGGATACCTATACACTGTCTAAGCCAGATTGTTAAATGATTGCCTTTATATAAAAAGACTGAAAATTAGTATGACAATAAAGCATCAGATGGTCTCAGAGACATGCATTTATGTAATTATTTATTAAATCAATGCTCTGTAGAATAGCTTTTAAATATGTAACTTTTAAACTAGACAAATACAGTGTTATCCCAAGTATAAAATGTTTATTTGTATAGACTGTAGACTTGGTTTTGAAACGTTCTTCTCAGAAGATGTTGAAAAGAAGATAGGATGATGATTCTGGTAGAGTCACTGTTAAAACACAGTAGCTTTTATAAATACAAGATGCCAACAACATAAGCCTATACACTTCTTAAGGCTCTTAAAAGAAGATTTTGATCAAAAAATAACATCTAACAAAGCAGTTAATGAAAGAAAATAATGAAGATGAGAAAACAAGATGTCTGTGATACAGTGTTAAGCGTATCTGGATTCTTAAACTGTGCATTTTTATACTTCCAAATTGTCAGGATTCCTTTTTAAATCCTTGTTTTGTTTTTCATACCTACAATTTTTGTGAGATTATTGTTAGTCCTCTTAATTACATATATACTCAAATTTAAATAATCTTTAATAATTTTTCCCTGGGATTAATGAGAAGACTTACTGACCCAAAAAGTTCACCAATTTGCTCTGAAAAGCTCCAATTTATTTATTTTAAACCCATAAACTGATTGATACTTCTTTTGGGACACAAACCTTTACTACTTGTGCATTCAAACTCCCTTCAAGCTCTGTGGATAATTTCGTTGTACAAAAAAAACAGGATTGAGCTTCTGAGGTCAGAATTCTCTTTGTGCATCACCATCTTCTCTCTAACAAAGAACTGTGAAGTCACAAGCAAGAGCACAGATTAAAGTGCAAAATAAGTTTGTCAGGAATGCTGTTTTCTTGCATATATGTATCAAAAAGTCAACAGAATAAACTTGACAGTACTTGAATGTATGACATTTCCCTGTATAACTAGTACTTGTAAATTTGTTGTTCTCTAACATTTATTGTTTTCTTTGGTAATATTTGGCATTAGATTCCTCTCTTATTTTTGTATTAACTGTCTGACTATTGATTGTGAATTTATCTCAGGTGTATATGTGTAACCCTTCTGACAGCACTAGCCAGCAGTAACAAGGGCCAGGTTCAAAACTGGGGATTTAGCATCAGCTTTCTAAATATGGCTCAAACCCTCAGCCAGAAACCTGGGAAAACAAATTTTAACTGGATGTTCTAATGTGAACAAGCTTCCTCGCTTGCAAGCCATGTTAAGCTAAAACAGGATTT